CCATATACCCGAGAGAGCACAAAAATATGATATGAGAGGAGAGAGAGGTGGAATGTAGAAATCATTATATCATATAAAATATATAACCACTCTTAGCCCGGGATGAAATTCTAACAATCCTGGCTTTTGATGTTTTGAGATCAACAAAGGATTTCAATCGGTTCATATATGTATTCGTTTAATGTAAGATATATATATATATAGAGTGAACCCCATAGCATATTATGTATTTAGCCTCTACCCTAAAACACCTTACAAAAGTCTTCAACAAACATGATGCAGGGCACATTAATTTTTTAGATCAGTTCCAGATCCGGATCCAAATGCAAATAGTATACATCGGATCTAGATCCAGATCCAATCGATTATAAAAGTTTAGATCTTGAATCGGATCCAAAATTATCCATAAGCTTTTAGGGTCATAACTTGGTCACATGGAGCACGGAACTCATCGAGCCATCTCCAGTCAGTCAGTGCCTTGTCAAAAACGCTTCTGCACCACAAAGAGAGATCAAATCAGGAGGAAGAAGCAACACCACTCAGAGCTACACCTCAATCGATATGCTACACTTCTCACTCTCCACAACAGACAAAGATAGATGCACGATAAGCGGTCACCCACTCAAACACAAGCAAAGCGATACGCCACATTTCGCTCACCGCAATCAGCGATTTGGATCTAAATCCGGATCTAGATTAGTTCCAATTTTGTATTATAAAGTTAAAGTACAATTATAAAAGTTAAAATTATTATAACTATTATATATATATATATATATATGGAAGATACTACAAAACACCTATAGGAGAAAATAAACAATGATTTCGTCTATCATCATCACCATCCAAATTTCATCGCACGGTCACAATTGTCTGATAGTGTTTCATTTTTCTTTTCTTTTTTTACTAATCGGAATGATCTGAAACATGGAGGGTGTGTACATCTTAGTGAGGCGCACCTAATAAAAATATAAAAAATAATAATTCGTAAAATATAAATTGACCAAAATACCCCGTAATTGTTTTAGGGTATTTTAATCAATTTATATTTACGAATTATTTTTTTCATATTTTTATTAGGTGCACCTCACTAAGATGTACATACACTTCTAAATTTCAATAATTTGGATTTGTAGAAAAAAAAATGAAAATTGAAACTCTACTAGACATCTGTGACCGTGTGATGAAGTTTGGATGGTGATGAGGGTAGGCAAAATCACCATTCAATTTCACCTATAGGCGTTGGAAGAGTTTTTCAATATATATATATATATATATATATATAAAGGTTTCTATACTTCCCATACAACATGTAAGGTATATGCTTCCCCTACCATCTAGCCGTGCAATTTTGATCAAGAGAGCCACTCACTCTTTGATCTTAGATCTGAGGTCTCAAAGTATTTTATTTTATTTATTTTATACAATTTGTATGGATTTGAAATTTTGTGCATGCCATCTTCTCATTGGGTCACACCTATAAAAAACTATTAAAAATTAATTTTCGATAAGATATAATGATGAAAATACCCCTTCAATATTCTAGGGGTATTTTGGTCATTTTATTTTATTGAAAATAATTTTTTTCACCAGTGCGAGATTAATAGAGGATTGGACGTATGTCCAAATAGTTTATGTAAAAAAATTAAAAATAAAATAGTGTAGAGACGTGACATTGTGATTGGGGCAATCTTAGCCCTTATTCAGAATGGATGGTTGGATAAGGGGAAGTATATAAGTTTTATGTTGTAGGGGAAGCATAGAAAGCTAGCTTATATATATATATATATATATATATGAAAAAAGTATATTCTTAAAATGTAGAAATACGGATGCACCTCAAAAATCCATCAAAGAAGGTTGTTTTAACATTGAAAAACCCTCTAGTTGATCATCTCGACATAGAGATGTATGAATATTACAAAAAAAAAAGATTTTGAGTCCCGAAAATAATACATCTTACAATATATTATCTAGACCGTCAATTTTCAAGATTTTCATATGTTTATAGATCTACTTGATTTTAACCATTTTTGGAGATTAACATTTCATAATTAGATATACAAATAGATTTTTAGATAATCTTAATAATTATCCTATGAGCCAGTGGGCTCACAAGTAAAAATGAGCCCAACAACTCATATTGAATCTGGGCCGATTTGACAATCATGGATGTCTGGTAGTGTTTGAATTTTAAATTTTTTTTCTAGAAATTCAAATTACTTGAAATTTGAGACATGTGTTCATAAAAAATAGGTGAATCTTTGAAAAATATCAAAAGAATATTTTATATGAAAATAATTGACCAAAATACCCCTGTAAAGTTTTGGGGGTATTTTGGTCAATTTTTTTGTGGATTATTATTTTTTTATATTTTTATTAGGTGCGAATTGATGAGAAGGAAACACGCTTAAAATTTCAAGTGATTTGGATTTGTAAAAAAAGAAAATCAAACACTACAGGACATCTGTGATCATCAGATCGACCCAGATTCAATCTGGGCTGTTGGGCTCATTTTTTGATAGCTTGGATGTGTCACCAAGTTCGAGAAAATTTCTTTTGAAGTTTGAGTTTGGTCAATGGAATAATTTCAGCCAATCAATTGTACATCCAATAGTCATGACTATTGTGACCATCTTATATTAAAGATAAATAGTCTCACTATATATGAGTGTGTGATTTCATGTCACTATTTCATTTAATATACTGAAACAACTCTTCTTAAAATTCTTGTTCATGGGAATCGTATGACCTAGAATTTTGCATAAACATTGTTGTCATCCAAATAATCAATTCCCAAAAAGAAAACAAATTGAAATTTACACCCTAGAAAATGGCCAAAACGAGTCATTCTCTAACAAAGAATCCATACTATCCATTTGTTGGATATTGAAATTTGGACAACTCAAGATATTGAAATTTGGACTTTTAAGAATTCAAAATCAATTTTTATTGTTTCAAAATTGTTCATCTAATGATGTTAAACTCATCTACAAAAATCAGATAAATAAAAACTCTCTAAGGCCTAGATTTAATCATCCCATAAAATAGAGGGCCTATATCCATTAGGTTAAAAAAATTATATTTTAGATTGCTTTTTCATTTTTCATTTTTTTTTAGATTGTTCATCCGAAGGAAAAGAGTGTATATTTGACTACTAGGGAAAAAAAAAAACCTCTGACATGGCTTTTGAAGGTTTGTTTCTTTATTTTATTATAAAATTGTTAAAAAAATATCATTCATTAATACATACCATTCCTTGTTTTTCCTTTAAATTAATGTTAGAAAAATATGCTTTTTAGAGTTTCTAGGTCCATCAATTCCCACTTAGCATGTGTGCAGGTCCAACCAAATGGTACTTTGACAGACTACCGATCTTTCCTTTTAAAGCCAAAAGCCAAGGGATATGGTGTGCAACACCGGTGAGCCATAGATTCTTTGTTAGTGGATCTAATCTTCCATGAAAAGTAAAAAATTCCACATATTTTGACTTGATAAAAAAATGGAGCTGATCTGGAGACAAGATTGGGATAAAATTTAGCCAAAAAATCGCCCAAGATAAATTCATGAGGAATCCTTTTAAAGCCAAAAGGTGCGGGAGTAAACTATCCAGTTACTCGCTCGGGCAAAACTTATTCTAAGGATAACTATGATCACAAATTTTAAGTACGCCATCTCTAGAACCTGGCCAAGGACTTCAAAGATAAAATCTCTCAACGTGCCTAAAAAAGGTATCGTCCCAAGAGAAGTGTTTAATTTTTTGAGGGACAAATCTAGATATTTATAAACTCAAGTTCTATTTTTTTTTTCTTAAAAATAATCATCTAATTATAATTAGATAGATCCCAAAACGTTAAATATAAAAAACAACTTGCCTAAGGGAACAAATATATAGTATGTTCCCGAGGGAGCATACTATATGTGCTACCTTTTAAATATTTTCCGTGCCAACAATATCCGTACCCCAGACAACTCTCTCCTTCCGGACATGACAAGAGGAATTTTTTCAACAGTACTCATTTCTCTTTTCTTTTTTTATCATAATTCTTAAAGGGTCCAGTATATAAATGCATCCTGTAGAGATAGGGTACACCTTTAACTTTTATCATGATATATAATATTGATGTAAAATGTTCTTAAGATTACCTCAAAATTTATTTTTATATCTAATTATAAAATTTTAAATTTTAAAAATGATTAAAATCAAGTAAATCTATCATGAAAATATTAAAAATGAACGGTGTAAATAATATGTTGTACAATACACTGCTTTTTATACTTAAAATCTTTTTATTTTTCATGGCCAAATATCTTGATATCGAGATGTTCAATTAAAAGGTTTTTCAACATTAAAAGTACCTTTTTCAATAGACTTTTGAGGTGCATTTGTTGCTCTATATTATAAGGCCGCAACCTTATACAAACTTTTTCCATTCTTAAAATACATGGTCTATATCACAGGATTTTTTGCATATGAAGGCATCATTTTTTTTTAAAAAAATATTATGAGTAAATAAAAATGAAGTTAAACTGATGCAGGGAAAAGAGAAAATAAAATAAAAAATAAAAAGTAAAAATAAGACTAAAGAGACAGGAGATTATAACCTCTCTTGTGTTCTACTGACGAGTCCACTCCGACAAAAAAAAAAGAAGCTTTCCCCATACGAAAGTCGTCTTCTCATTCCCATCTTCTTTTTTGTTTACAGTTACATAAAGAAGAAAAACCTAACTTACTCATTGCAAAACCCTAAACACAATTAAATCAATAGTCTTTTACCTATTTAATATTTAACTTTCAATTATATCCATTGATTCTCTACAACAACAAAAAAGACAGAACAAATAAAAACCCAAAATCCTAATTTTTACCCCAAAAAATAATAAAAGAAAAATATAAAAAACACTAATTGCGTCATAAACACTTAAAATCTACAAATGCTTCTACTGTGCCATTCCTTAATTAAGCAAATACCACTAATTATCCAACAAGAGCAACGAAGTTCAAAGAAAAAACAGATCAGAGCATCAATAACATTTGATAAAAAATTGTTGTATCGACGACAAGAACGAAATTTACATAAAAGTTGCTTCTGTTACAAAACAAGGCAAACCATTTACATTTATACTTCGTACTCCCAAGTATCAAAAAGGACAGAAGAAAAGAATTTGACTTTTAAAGACTGTTGTATAAACCCACCGGTAAAACCACCATCTACAACTGTGAAATACCAGCCTTGAAACTCATGATTGCAAACTTCCAAGCCTCTCCTGATGTATGTGAAATCCATCAATGAACCGAACTGCAATTCTTGGGTTTTATATTCATTGCTTTCCAATTCATGGAAAAAGAACAAACCCTCAACTGTGACCAACATGACTTGCAGAGCTGTGATGGTTTCGGCATCTCAGCAACTTCATCAACCGAACACGAACAAGCTCCACATAGCCATCAAAGAGAATTCCTCTATAGCAGCTTCCGACAAAAAACAAAGGGCTGCTGTTAAGAGTATGGCTTTTCTATTTCACACGAAAATCATGCCTGAAAATGGTTAAATTTTGGGTGAATTTGTCCCTGTTTTTTGGTTCTAAGCTTCGGGTCACATCAGCCATCAATTTTGTGAAACAAACTACGAGCCGTGGCCTCTGATCTGCTGGCTGCGAACAGTGAGGAGAGAGAGAGAGTCATAAGTAGAGCAGCATAACTGTATTGCCGAAAAAAAGAGAGTAGAACAGCATAACTTTGTTTATCTTTTTTCTTTAGTTATTTCAGATAGTTTAGAGCCATATAACTTTTGTTTCTCATATGGATACAACCATGGATTAAACCCTACTTAAAAGATCTTAAAAAAGAAAGAAGAGAAAATTATTATTTAAGGGCAAAAAAAATCCCAATTAACATTCGAGGGTTTACTTTTTAATTTTTCATTTCACTTAGGTGCCTCTTCAAAAAAATATTATAAAAAATGCCCAAATTTCCCTTGTTCAAGGTTGGGAACTATGAAGAAACAACAAATCCTCATTAGTTGAACCCTGAACATCATAATACACAACTGGGAGCTCGAATCCCTCTCTAAAGCCCAAAATACATTTCAACTTAAAAAACCCAAAGTACGGTCCTTTTAAATCTGTTGCCCTGATCCTAAAAGCCCTTTGGACTTGAGAATCTTGGAACTTTAGAAGACATGATGCTGAAAATACTATGACCTAGATCCTGACTGTCCCTAAATGGCTAAAGCAAAACTAGAAAAGTAAAACCCTAGCCAAAGCTCTAAATGCAAATAAGCCTCCTGACTTAAAGATCATCAATGATGTGTTTCTTCTGATAAAGCAGTAAAAATAAATGAAAACTAAAAATCTTTCCAAGAGCAAAAGTTGGGACCCAAACTAACCTGCGACGCCAGAATTTGAGCTTGTAAGTCGCTGAATATCTGCAAGAGAACAGACACAAATAATTTATTACCATGTAACACGCATGCACAAGAGAAAATTAGTGTAAAAAGATAACCCAGTCCATTAAGACGTTCTTTTATAATGAAATTCAACTAAAGCTACATTGACCATCAAATCATTAAGAACTCTACCACAATATGCCAACAGCTGATTTACACATGCCTCAGGAGATACCAATGCTGTGAGAAAGAAAGTTTGCTTGATAACTACAATGAAGAAAAGGAAATTTCAGCCGACTCTTTTGTCTTTTGTCTTCTGTTGCTTCCTTATCTTGCGTCTCATCATTTCTAGTGCTCAAATATTTAAAATGTTTTACACAATATTCGGACTAGTAGGTTTTGAAAATGAAACAAGGGCTCTTCTTCAGTAGTATGCTCACTCAAATAGCATTACTTAAACAAAGGGTCCCCCAGGGGATATTGAGGTTGGGGATGGGGAAGGTGCGCAGGTTAGTTCTTGGATCCTATGGAAAATGACTTGATACCAAGTAATTGTGTGGCCCCTAGGTAGACCATATTTCAGAGGCCACCTGGGGACAGACTTTGTAGGCACTGAAGTACTGAACAATGCCGGCTCTTTCATTGTTGTCCATGCAGTAGTTGAGAATGAGGACATATGAGTGCGGTCGCTGAAGTATAACTTCAAGGGAAATTCATTGGCTAATCATGGTCCTGGAGGAAAAGGGAGTCTTTTGAGGGACGCTGAGAGGAGAATTCTATTTCCTTTTTTGAGCCCAGCATATTTCTGGACTCTGCAAAGGAGAAAGCCTCACTTAGACTTGCAGTGATGCCCTTGGCAGAACTAGGAACCTGTTATTGTTGAAGGAGAAACCATTATGTCATTAGCTGCATAAGAGGGGTATCTCAGCCTCCCAGATGCTTGGCCAATTATCATTGATGAGATCGGGGATATAGGGCTGTCGAGAGCTTATCAGTGATTTTGGGCTGCGAATGTGGTGGAAATTATGCTTTAGGAAATTAATTTGACTCCAATTGATGTAACCAGAGAAACCACAAAGCACAACTTGAAAAGGATCAAATTTTTAAATATAAAAGAGTTCAGGACCTAGCTCCGGCCTTTATGCGAGTGACCCATAAATTTACAATCTTCTAAGCTTTGGCATGACAAGTTCCTCTTACTGACACTCCAAAGTACAAAATGAAGAAGCATTGGGGTAGAAAATACAAAATATTCCTGGCAAGGAATATGAGCTTGTTTACCTTGTGATACGAGACTAGGGGGTTGCACTCCTTCACAACTCACTTGCTCTTGCAACTTGGAGGGAGCTTTGGTCACGAAATCTTGCTTGAATTAGGTCTTGGTTCCCTTAGCCTTTGATCTTCCTTTAGTTTTAACTTCTTGCTTAGTCACTTGATCTCACCCCCTTAGGTTGAGATTCTCACATCCAAGTATGGAAAAGTAACCTCTCCATCTTAGAATAAAGCTCACTAGGGCAATTCCTAGTACTCTCACAACTCCCTCTTTCTCTTACTAGACTCTCTCTCTAAGACTCTCAAGGAAATAGACTTAAACACTCAAAGCCCACCCAAAGTAATCAATAGCCAAAAATGGCCAAGGCATGGGTAATTATAGCCAGGGGTGAAATGCTCTCCAGGGCAATTCCTTGCACTCTCACAACTCCCACTTTCTCTCACTAGACTCTCTCTCAAGATTCTCAAGGCAATAGGCAATAGACTAAATACTCAAAGACCACCTAAGGTAATAAATAACCAAAGAGCTCCCTAAAAGACCAAGGCATAGGTAATTTTAGCCGGGGGTGCATTTAGTGTTTTCGTTTTTTTGGGGTCATGATGCATAAAGAAATTAGGAAAAATTCAAAATTTTAGTGTTATTATTATTTTTGTTTATTTTTCAAGTACTGTATGAGTTTCTTGGGAGGTTTGTTGTAGTTTATTTTGATAATATGTTGATATTAGCAGTGACCCAGAGGCACATCTTAATCATTTCGCTAAAAGCTTATTGTTTTGAGGGCTGAGAAATTGCATATGAACCTCAAGAAATGCAGTTCATGATGAATAGTTTACTATTCTTGGGTTTTGTGGTGTTAAAGTGGATCAGGAGAAAATTAGGGCAATTGTTCAATGGCCTATACCTAAGACCATCACTTAAGTGCAAAGTTTCCATGGATTCGCCACTTTCCACAAGCAGTCCATTCAAAATTTCAGCACCATGATGGTTCCAATCGCCTAAAAGGTGAAGGTTATCAGTGGACACCTGCAGCTACGAAGGCATTCAAGGAGATTAAGGAGAGGATAATGCATGCATTTGTCATTGCTTTTCCTAATTTCAATAAGGCATTTGAGGTAGAGTGTATGGAATGCAAGTTTAATAATAATAGTTTTGATTGATGAGACCCGAAACGGCGTCAACACAAATAGAACTTTGGAAGGATACTCTAGAATCTAAAGGTTTTAGAATTAGCCGAACTAAGACGAAGTACATAGAATGCAAGTTTAGTAATACTTGGGGTAGAGACGAGAAAGTAGTTAAGATTGGCGGCCAGAAAATACTAAAAAGAGTGCACTTCCGATATCTTGGGTCGATAATCCAGGAAAATGGTGAGATTGGGGAAGATGTCGCACATAGAATTAGAGTGGGTGGGCGTAGTGGAAATGTGCAACAGGAATTTTATGTGATCGCCACATATTAATGAAGCTCAAGGGCAAGTTCTATAGGACAACTGTGAGACCAGTTTTGCTCTATGGGACGGAATGTTGGGCGGTCAAAAAACAATATATTTATAGAATGGGTGTAGCGGAGATGCGGATGTTGAGATGGATGACTAGCAAGAAAAGAAGGGAGAGAATTTGCAATGAATACATTCAGGAAAATTTAAGTGTGGCACCAATAAGCGATAAGATGAGAGTGAGTAGACTTAGGTGAGCTGGCATGTGTGGCACAGACCCAGTCAACACCTGTTAGGAGGTGCGAGTTAGTTCAAGTGGAAGGTTAAAAAAGAGCAAGACGTTGGCCCAAAAGGACATGGTTGGAAGTAGTGATAAAAGAGATGGGAACTTACGGCCTCATTGAGGGTATGACCCTTAATAGAGCAAAATGATAGACTAAGAGTCGTATAGCCAACCCCAATTAGTTGGGAAAAGGCTTTGACGACGATGATTCGAGGTACAGTGTAATACTTTCTATGTGGGAATTGGAGCTATGTTGAGTCAACAAAAGAGGCTGATTGCATTTATCAGTGAGAAACTCAATGATGCAAAAAGGCATAATCGACTCATGACATTGAGTTTGATGTTATTATACAAGTACTCCGTCATTTTCAAATCTACCTGATTCAAAGAGAGTTTGCTTTACACCGTTCTTAAGACACTTAAGCACATTAACTGTCAAAAGAACTTGAGTGCAAATGCAAAGTGGGGTGACCTATTTGCAAGAATTTACAATCACTATAAGGCACTAACCCGGAGAGCGAAACTGGTAACCAATGCCTTTAGTTATCACGTCCATTTGGTGGGGACATTAGCAATTGAAGTAGTGGGCCTAGAAGTGGTGACACCGTCATTTTCGACACTACCTAATTCAAAGAGAGTTTCTCCTTCGCATCGTTCAAATGACACTTAAGCACATTAACTACCGAAAGAACTTGAGTGCGAAACATGCAAAGTGGGTGACCTATTTGCAAGAATTTACATTCACTATAAGGCAGCAACCCAGAGAGCAAAACTGGTAACCAATGCCCTTAGCCATCATGTCCATTTGGTGGGGACATTAGCAATTGAAGTAGTGGGCCTAAAAGTGATGAGTGAGGCCTATATCAATGACCTTTATCTGAAGTGTATTTTGGGAAGGTGTCAACAGTGTATCGAAGATCGCCTTGGGCCAAGTACTCCCGAGGCAAGTTTACTCAAGGGAGTTTGATTTACTCGCCCGAGTGATGACAAAGGAAAAAGAGAAAAAATAAAAAGTAAAATAGTGATAGAAAAAAAGTTAAGAAAGAAAAGAAAAGAAAAGAGGAAAGGTGTATTAATAGACCATGTGCCCAAGATAGAGGGCACAAGGCCAAAACAAAAGATGTGGTTGCTGCCACGTGCCTCTCTCTGCCCCATAGTGCTCTACCTCCCTCCCTCCATCCCTCCCTACCCCCCCCTCTCTCTCTCTCTCACCCCCACCCCCCACCCCCCCATCTCAACTCTCTCTTGAACAAGAACGGTTTTAAATGGTCATTGGATCTAGTGCACTGTGATGATCTTAGAGGATATTACAAGCTTGCTTCCAGGCATGAAAGCTTAGAGCTTCCCCAATTTTTCCTCCTTTACAAAAGCCCACCGATCAATGTATTATAAGCTATATTGTTGGAGAAAATCCTTGCATTTATTCCAAATTTAAGCTGCTATTAATTGATTTGGCAATCTAGGGAGTTTTTATTAACATCAAAACCCTTTCTCATGGGAAAAAATGCACTTACTTGAATAAAAGAATTGCAGCTCAAAGGCTGCCAAGGTTTCTGCAGCATTGTATGCACAGTAGGGCGTTGACTTGCGAAGACTCGACCATGTATATAATTACTAGGCAGAGCCCTAAAATACTTAGAAGAGCGTATAACGCACTTCCCCGAGTATTGTACACCTCCCTGTTTCCAGTGAGGTGTACAATGAACTCGCCCTTACTATGGCCAAGGGCAGTAACTCAGCCGGTCCAAGTCAACTCGGCTGAGTCATGGAACACTGGATGTCGCTCATGCAAAGGTGAATCCTACCACCTATTCATTCTTTCCCATGGTTACTTGTTTTTATAGTTCATCTATGAATACCTCCTTACGAGAGCATCACATTGTTGATTTACTTTCGGAGGTCTTTGTGGATATTTTGGAAGGAATAAAATATTTTCTTTATGGAGGAAAAATATTTTTGGCTTTCTATGAGCAGAGTTGCATACAGGTTTGTCTTTAGGTGTAAGAAATATCAAATGGCGAAGGGGCATTCTCAAAATATAGGTTTGT